TGAATAGTTGTGTAATGTAGAATAGTAATGTAATGTTGAATAGTTGTGTAATGTAGAATAGTAATGTAATGTTGAATAGTAATGTAATGTTGAATAGTAATGTAATGTTGAATAGTAATGTAATGTTGAATAGTAATGTAATGTTGAATAGTAATGCAATGTTGAATAGTAATGTAATGTTGAATAGTTATGTAATGTAGAATAGTAATGTAATGTTGAATAGTTGTGTAATGTTGAATAGTAATGCAATGTTGAATAGTAATGTAATGTTGAATAGTAATGTAATGTTGAATAGTAATGCAATGTTGAATAGTAATGTAATGTTGAATAGTAATGTAATGTAGAATAGTAATGCAATGTAGAATAGTAATGCAATGTTGAATAGTAATGCAATGTTGAATAGTAATGTAATGTAGAATAGTAATGCAATGTTGAATAGTAATGCAATGTTGAATAGTAATGCAATGTTGAATAGTAATGCAATGTTGAATAGTAATGTAATGTAGAATAGTAATGTAATGTTGAATAGTAATGTAATGTAGAATAGTAATGCAATGTAGAATAGTAATGTAATGTTGAATAGTAATGCAATGTTGAATAGTAATGTAATGTAGAATAGTAATGCAATGTTGAATAGTAATGTAATGTAGAATAGTAATGTAATGTTGAATAGTTGTGTAATGTAGAATAGTAATGTAATGTTGAATAGTTGTGTAAGTAGAATAGTAATGCAATGTTGAATAGTTGTGAAATGTTGAATAGTAATGTAATGTTGAATAGTAATGTAATGTTGAATAGTTGTGTAAGTAGAATAGTAATGTAATGTTGAATAGTAATGTAATGTTGAATAGTTGTGTAAGTAGAATAGTAATGTAATGTTGAATAGTTGTGTAAGTAGAATAGTAATGTAATGTTGAATAGTAATATAATGTTGAATAGTTGTGTAAGTAGAATAGTAATGTAATGTTGAATAGTTGTGTAATGTTGAATAGTAATGCAATGTTGAATAGTAATGTAATGTTGAATAGTAATGTAATGTAGAATAGTAATGTAATGTTGAATAGTTGTGTAATGTTGAATAGTAATGCAATGTTGAATAGTAATGTAATGTTGAATAGTAATGTAATGTTGAATAGTAATGCAATGTTGAATAGTAATGTAATGTTGAATAGTAATGTAATGTAGAATAGTAATGTAATGTTGAATAGTAATGTAATGTTGAATAGTAATGCAATGTTGAATAGTAATGTAATGTAGAATAGTAATGTAATGTTGAATAGTAATGTAATGTAGAATAGTAATGCAATGTTGAATAGTAATGTAATGTTGAATAGTAATGTAATGTAGAATAGTAATGTAATGTTGAATAGTAATGTAATGTTGAATAGTAATGCAATGTTGAATAGTAATGTAATGTAGAATAGTAATGTAATGTTGAATAGTAATGTAATGTAGAATAGTAATGCAATGTTGAATAGTAATGTAATGTTGAATAGTAATGCAATGTTGAATAGTAATGTAATGTAGAATAGTAATGTAATGTTGAATAGTTGTGTAATGTAGAATAGTAATGTAATGTTGAATAGTTGTGTAAGTAGAATAGTAATGCAATGTTGAATAGTTGTGTAATGTAGAACAGTAATGTTGAATAGTAATGTAATGTTGAATAGTAGTGTAATGTTGAATAGTTGTGTAATGTTGAATAGTTGTGTAATGTAGAATAGTAATATTGAATAGTGATGTAGATATCTTTAGAGAAATTTACTCATCAAGAAAACTGACTACCCACGCAAGAAAGAGACAACCTACATTCTCTATTTATCTCATGAGAAGGAGAAAACTGACACATCATGATGAAAGTTGGGGAGAAAGAGGCAGAGGGAGACCGATAGATTGGATGCTAGGCAGTCTGACATCATGGTATGGAAGAACATCTGTGTCAGAATTCATTCAACGGACACATGACAAAAAGATGTAAAAAAAACATGACCACCAGTGTGTCACAGCATGGAATTTGAGAAGAATATTCAGTATGCATGTTGTTTTTGCATTTTTGCTAGTAGTAAAGTTTGTAGAGTGGTGCTTTGACTTTCGAACTGCTGTACAGATTAACTTTTTGAGATAGATGCTAGTTCTGACAGATGAGACTGTCAACTAGTTGGGAGCTTCCTTTGAAGTCGGAGTGCTTCTGCCTGTGGGGCAAGGAACCTTCAGTCTGCAAATAAATGAGTCAGATCTGTAAAACAGATGTGCACGCAACACAAAGGTTCTAGAACAGGATTACAGTCCAGAATTGGACGAACAACCAGAACTTTCCGCCATAGTTTACAGCCGATGACAGAGAAGAAGAAAAAGAAGAAATGAGCCAAATTAGAGAAAGACGAACAAAAGAAATGTCTGGACAGCGCTTTTATCAACAGTTGTGAGAGAAAGACAATGGCAGTTTATTGTGCACATCACAAGAAAAGACAGGGAATCGCTAAGCAGCCATTGAAATGAGAAATAAACTAATTGAAAGCTAAGAATGCAAGAAATGGGAGTGAAGATTGGCACATCCAGGCATGAGAGGCACGCCCCGTCATACAAGAAATCTTGTCAGCCAGCATAAGACTGGCGGTGTTACCCGCTGGTCATGGATGTACGTGTTGGAGGAAATCTGGGCCACATATGGATGTGTCCAGAGTGCCATGAAGATAACCTGACTTAGTGTCCCAAACTTTTCTTAGTCACGGCACCTTTTTCAATTAAAATTTTTCCACGGCGCCCTAACCTATGTGATAGTATGACTTTTTGTATGTAAGAGATTTTTAAAAAAAAAAGCATATATTTGAATATTTTGCGGCACCCCTGTGAAGAGGTCGAGGCTCGCCTGGGTGCCACGATGCACAGTTTGGGAATCACTGACCTTACTCATAACTCCAGCTGGCCATCTTCCGAATAACAGTCCCAAATTATCGCAGCCGAAAATATACCCTAACAGGGCCTCATGTAAATTGCGGACCTCTTTCTGGCGACTATACCAGCATCGTCGAGAGTATCCCCACGCCACTACGGGCGGCGTGGAGGGGGCTAAACTAGGTGGCTGGGACTCACAAGCAAATGAAATGAATAAAAGCTTCAGGAGATGTAGTAGCTGCTGCTCATGAGTCCCAGCCATCTAGTTAAGCCCGGTTCCGGGCCACTACACGCGGCGCGAGGGGGGTGGAACTCTTGACGGTGACTTTAACTTTGCAGAAGCTTTTCTGTGGTATGCTGTGTAGTCGCCGGAAAAAGATCCACAATTTACATGTGACCGAGGCCCTGTTAAGGCATATTTTTGGCCTTGATAATTTGGGACCGTTATTCGGAGGATAGCCCTCAAATGGATTGAGGAAAGAATAACATGCAAGAGAAACTTTTGAGATGAATGTTGTTGAGAGATTTGAAAGGTGGTGAACTTGATTCTGTCCAGGATATCATTAGATTGCACAGGATACAGGATAATGGAGGAATCCAGTAAGAGTCCTATATGATGCATGGAGGAATCAAGTTAGAGTCCTATATGATGCATGGGGGAATCAAGTTAGAGTCCTATATGATGCATGGAGGAATCAAGTTAGAGTCCTATATGATGCATGGAGGAATCAAGTTAGAGTCCTATATGATGCATGGAGGAATCAAGTTAGAGTCCTATATGATGCATGGAGGAATCAAGTTAGAGTCCTGTATGATGCATGGAGGAATCAAGTTAGAGTCCTATATGATGCATGGGGGAATCAAGTTAGAGTCCTATATGATGCATGGAGGAATCAAGTTAGAGTCCTATATGATGCATGGAGGAATCAAGTTAGAGTCCTATATGATGCATGGAGGAATCAAGTTAGAGTCCTATATGATGCATGGAGGAATCGGGTTAGAGTCCTATATGATGCATGGATGAATCAAGTTAGAGTCCTGTATGATGCATGGAGGAATCAAGTTAGAGTCCTATATGATGCATGGAGGAATCAAGTTAGAGTCCTATATGATGCATGGAGGAATCAAGTTAGAGTCCTATATGATGCATGGAGGAATCAAGTTAGAGTCCTATATGATGCATGGAGGAATCAAGTTAGAGTCCTATATGATGCATGGAGGAATCAAGTTAGAGTCCTATATGATGCATGGAGGAATCAAGTTAGAGTCCTATATGATGCATAAAGACACGTCAGAATGGCAAAAAGAATTTGATTTCATCACAGTCGATGTCAGTGCACATGTAGACGTTCCCACAACTTGATCCTCACCAGCGGTACGGAGTTTGTGCATCCCTGCTGAGAATGATGTATTTTACCAGGTCAGTATGTTTGCCATTTTCGCTACAGATAAATAATTTTCTTTCTTTTCATGTCTGTGATTATGATTTTGAACTAGTCTTATGTAATCTTGTATAACAATGACATAATTGTTGCTTGGTGTGTTGGTTGCTTGGTCCATTGTTTGACTGGCTGATTGGTTGGTTAGTTGACTGGCTGGTGAACAGGTTGATTGGTTAGTTGGCTGATTGTTGACTGGCTGATTGGTTAGGTGGTTCGTTGGAAGGCTGATTGGTTGGCTGGCTGATTGTCGAATAGCTTGCTGATTAGTTGGTTGGGTAGTTGACTGGTTGGCTGGCTGGTTGGTGGGTTGCTTTGCTGCTTAGTCTTGATAGTTGGTGGTTGGTTTCTTGGGGCTTTGTGGTTTGTTGATCAGCTGCTTGGCTGGCTGGTTGATTGATTGTATAGCATGTTTTGTTATTGTCGTTGATGTTGTTGTTGCTTGTTGGTTAGATGTCTGCTTGGTTGGTTATGAGTTCAGAAAATTATATAAAACATTAGGTGACATTAAACAACGCAGTGGGCTGCTTTGTACTGAGTTAGTTAATTTTGTTTTCTTTAGCAGGATTTATGGCTGTTGTTGTATTTACGGTAACTGTTATGTATATGGTTATGATCACATCTGTGGTTACAATCCTTAACTGAGTGTTCACGCCGTTCGAGTATATGGTGCTGCTCACAATCATCGCCAACTGTATCGTGTTAGCCCTGGAGGAGCATCTGCCCGAGAGGGACAAGACGCCGCTTGCCTTGCAGCTGGTATGTTTAATTGTTTTGTTTTGTTTTTGGTGGGGGGGGGGGGGGGATGTTTAAAAAGAGACACCAAAGTAGAGAAATAACCGCGATGAAAAATCTTGACTGTTAACTCATTAAGTACCTGAAGGTTTTTTAGGAGATGCCAATGCAGAAACATCTGTGACGAAAATTTATCAGTTAGTTAGTCTTTCCTCTTGTGTCGAGTGCGGCACATAGGGCAGAGGTCATGACTCTCCATGCATGGCGGTTCGTTGCAATCTGTTGTAGGTCTTGGATGTTTGAGTGGCCCATGAGCGAGCCTTCCCTGATGATAGTTCTACGTAGAGTTTACCTTGGTCTTCCACAAGATCTTTTCCCCTGTGGTGTCCAAATGAGGGCTTGGTAAGGAAGTCTTGATTTATCCATTCTAAGGGCGTGGCCAGCATAGTTCCAGCGGCGTTTTTGTATAAAATTAAACTGTAATATATTAGTAGTAGTGACCACTGAACAAGCCAGATTTCTCGAGTTTGTTCTGACCAAGTATATAAAAGGTAGAACATAAAACTAGGAAGGGGATTCAGCATATATGAGTTCACCTCATATGTTGTTTTTGAATCAATGAGTTATAGCAGCAATATAAACAGTGATAATTACCATTGGGGTAGCCAGATGTTTTAGTATGCTCTGACTAAAGTTGAAAATTAAGAGAACACTTATGCTGTAGAGGGAAATTAAGGGATTGAGTCACACACCAAGCAGTTCTTGGGACTGAAAAATAAGATCAACTTCGGGCTCTCTTTGGTCTCTAACTTCTGGTTGTTTTGACACATGTCCGAACCATTTGATCTGTTGTCTCTTGCTGTAGTTTGGTACTTGTTCTGCCCCCAACCTGTTTCCCTATACTGTCATTTTTTATCCTGTCTTTTGTTACATTTAGGATTCATTTTAGACCTTTGTATCCGAACCTCTTGCATTCAGGTCCTGAGGGAGTGAGATATTTTTTGTAAATGATTGGCTCACAGGTTAACCCAGCTTTAAAAGAGTACACACTAAAGTCCTGGGAAGTAAAGGCAGTCTGCCTGGTGCTGACCACATCACCCACTGAGTGCCGATTGGTCTAAAAAATATAGGTCTCACCCTATACACCCAGTACACCTAAAGGCGGGGAAAAGAGAACTTGACTTTTTTACTTTACTTAGACATTTCATTTCTGTTGTTTTGACTTTCATTATGAGTATAAATATGAGAGTTATTATAATCACACCTGCATTATCTCTACAGGATGACACTGAGGTCTACTTTCTAGGGATATTTTGTGTAGAAGCCTCGCTGAAGATTGTAGCTCTAGGTTTTGTCTTACATAAGGGGTCATATCTCCGCAACGTCTGGAATATCATGGATTTCATAGTAGTAGTTACTGGGTACGTACGCTTTATTCCTGTCATTGTGGGTATGTTTGTCTAGTTGTTTACCTCTCCAGGCTGCAGAATGAAGACTGAAGATTTGACCATCCCTGTGACTCATAGAGATTCTGGATGCTGCTCAAGTAGGGAAAAGTTCAAGATATCCCATTCGTCCGTCTGAGAAATTATCATCAGGGCGCCCTTAACTCTTTTAGTCCCAGGGGGTTTAGCATCAGATGCCCAAGGGATAGTAACAAGAGATTAGTTGCATATTTTGTTCATTTCGGCTTTTACGTAGGAGCCTATGTACATATGGTACGTTATTTAGGACTGAAGGAGTTAGTGACAACATTAATTACTACCTTGTAGGGAAGGCGACACAGTGAAAATATTGTGAAAAAGGGGGGGGGGGATAAGTACAATATTTGTGTAGCAATGAGTAATGGCTACATCTGCCTCTAGCTTGAATGAATTATGGCTACCTCTGTGTCTAGCTTCATTGAATTCTCACATGTAAAGAAGCAATGTGTAGAGACCATATGCAGAAGCCATATGTAGAAGCTATGTGTAGAGGCCATATGCAGAAGCCATACGTAGAAGCTATGTGTAGAGGCCATATGCAGAAGCCATACGTAGAAGCTATGTGTAGAGACCATGTGTAAAAAAAATTAAACATTGGGGATTCAGAACTTCTCCCGTGTGCACAGGCACCATATAATACTGAAGAGACATGCTTTCAGTGTGCAATAGACAGACCACAGGTTTGGCCAGTTGGTATTCCAATGGAAACCAAGATCTATGGAACAATGAAAGACATGCTTTCAGTGTGCTGTAGAGAGACTACAGGTTTGGCCAGTTGGCATTGCAATGGAAACCCAGATCTATGGAACAATGAAAGACATGCTTTCAGTGTGCTGTAGAGAGACTACAGGTTTGGCCAGTTGGCATTCCAATGGAAACCAAGATCTATGGAACAGTGAAAGACATGCTTTCAGTGTGCAATAGACAGACCACAGGTTTGGCCAGTTGTCATTCCAATGGAAACCAAAATCTATGGAACAGTGAAAGACATGCTTACAGTGTGCTGTAGAGAGACTACAGGTTTGGCCAGTTGGCATTCCAATGGAAACCAAGCAGTATGGAACAGTGAAAGACACCACAGACTTTATAGAGGCATGTGGCCTTCTTGTCTGAAAACCGCTGGCTGAGAGGTTGAAAAGTAGAAGAAATAGTTGATATACAACTGAGATAAAAAGTTGTTTTACAAAGAGGCTTGTCTACATAGTCAGGTAGTTAATTAAGTTGTACCCCACCAGGACATCACAGAGTGATAAACACCCGATAACACAAAGTGCCACCATGCAGATGAGGATTATCCCTGGAGAGGTCCCGGAAACCCCGTTCAGCCATTAGGCTATATTTAAAGCCCGGCTGTATTTAGGGCCCCCCGACAAAAGCCAGGTTGGGCTTCAAAATAACTAAAAGTTGCATCCCACATTGGGACGACTAAACATGGTAACTTGTCTACAACACTTGGGTGTACTATATGTGACAAGACATATGAAAAGTAACCAGTCATTAGCTAGGCATATGAAAACGTAACTAATCAAAACAAGGCAATTGAATTATGTGGACTGTAAAAAAAGCAGAAAAATGGAAATGAGATATCTGAGAAGATCTTCAGGAGTGATCAGAAGGGATAAAAATGAAGTCTTAAGAGAAAAGGTTGGTACATAGCAAGGTCTAAATTACCTGCAAAGACAGCAAATCAATGCCATGCCCATGTAGATAAAATGCCTTGTGATGCCAAACCATACAATGCCTACACCAAAAGAGGAGATGGATGAAGATAAGGTAGACTAAGAAAACTATTGAAAGATAACATTAAACTCTACAAGAACATGATATATCCATAGTCGAGACAGGCAGAAGAGTTAGAAGCAGAACCTTATATTTCCCTCAACACCCAGTTCAGTAAAAGAGGAAGAAGAACAGGGAGGAGGGGAAGAGGAAGATGAAAGCTATATGTTGCTTTTGTTTTATTTCAATACAGAAAAGAGTATTTGTTTTTATCAATTTTTTGACAGGATTTTAGATTTTATGTTTGAATCACTAAACCAGCCAGCTGTTCGGTCACTCCGAGTTCTCCGCCCACTCAAATTGGTCACTCGTGTGGAGAGTGAGTGAAAATAAATAGTATTTGCTTGGAAGATGTGTAGGGTGCCAGCTGGCATACTGCTTTTTGGTAGCAGATGTTACTGAGATTTATTTTGATTTGGGTGTTAGTTCTAGTCCAAGCTGGCAATACTGTTGATTTTTTAAACTAATAAATAATTTTTTTTATAACTGTAATGCTTTATTTATATCTGTAGTTTTCACCGTTGGAATAATTTTGCTTCTTAATGGTTTTATTGTTTGACTTTTCTATGATTGATTTATTGTTTCAGAATTATTTTGTTTCATCTTCTAAAATGTTGCCACATGCTGTTTTTGTTTTCTCTTTAATATTTACATCTTATTTACTAAAGTTTTTTTGTTTTTAGGGGGGGGGGGGGGGGGGGGGGGGGGGGTGGGGGGGGGGGGGGGGGGGGGGGGGGGGGGGGGGGGGGGGGGGGGGGGGGATTTTTTTTTAAACCCACTCTTTTTCCCTCAAAACAAAATGTGATGATACTTGCCAAAAAGTGTCTACAACTGGCCACAAAGTTTCTATTGCAGTAATCCTACAAAAAATGATGCCTGAATAAAATTTGCTGGTTCTGCATGTGGTCAGAAGAAAAAGCTGTGAATACTCTCAAATCCCAGTCTATTAATCCCATCCTTGAGTTGTTAGTCCTACCAACTGTAATCCTGGAAGGTGGGAACTACGTACTAGCCTAACATTATGTTTCAAGGAATGTTTGGGGATGTACTCACATCTGTATGATGCTGGCCACATCAACCATCCAGTGCCACTTGGTCTATAGTGGTATGGAACAGTCATCCGTGTACTCAGTTAGTATCTCTCAATGCTAAAAACTGTGCCCACACAGTAGTTAGTTGGAACAGTCCCATAATCGTTTTTATTGTCTTACGTGAATATATTTCTTCTCAAGCCGTTTACCTGGCACTCTGAAGGTTGTCAGTTCATGGTTGCAATTTTTATGGAGATCCTTGAGGGATCATCACTGGAACTGTACAATTTGTGCTTTGTGTTACACTCTTGGCAGGGGTGTAGGCTCAGTCCACTGATGCAGCAGCCACTCCAATGTAGTTCTGCTAATTGTTCCCATGATAGTTTGGTTATAATGTCTCCTATCTAGGCCTCGAAGGCGGTATAGACATGCTTCACCATCATTTACTTCATTGTCACGCAGTCGTGTTAGTGGCATAGATTTGTCATTATCCAGTAGCCCAGTCCATAAAGCATTATCTGCTCTGTCCATGCTTCTTTCCACATGCATAAGTGCATTGCTTGCCAGTTGGTCTACTCACCCATTACCCTTTACACCAGCATAACCAGGTGTTTAGATCCAGGTGAGGGAGGTTTAGAGCAATTTTCAAACACTGTCCGCCCATTCAGAACGCATACAGCCTGTTGGTATCTTCTGAAGCATGTTTATGGAGTCCGATTCATTTACTGCATATGTGGCTGTTTGTTTGCTGCCATACTAGTGCTCTAGAAGCAGCAGTTATCTCCATGGTCATGCTTGACATAGTAGCCTGGTAAGTGCCACTGTCCTCTTTTATTGTTTTCCCCATCCTTCATGCTGTGTATGCCCATGCTGACCTTCATCTGGGCTTCACAGATCCATTTGTGTAGTTACTGATGTCTTCTGGGTGTGAATGCTGATCTATCAGTGCCCTTACCTCTGTGTCTACAGCAGCAAGAATCTGACCCCTGCATTACCTCCACAGTGGGATGACAATGTTAGAGCTGCTATGCATATCTACTGATGTATGTGTCCCTTATTTTCTGTAACAGATCTCATCTAAGTCACATACCTGCTGGATTAAATCTTTGACTTTGGACGTCCAGGAGTGGTCTCTTTTGAGACACATCCCTTTTGTGCCTTTAGTCAGTGGGTGGTTAATGTCTGCAGATACCCTCATGTAAGCCTTTATTTGTGCAACTTTGTATCTGTCAGCCATCATCTGCAAATCTAGGACATATGGGATAGAAATTGGTGCAGCAAAGTCCTCTCGACTGTGTGATTTTAATATATTTAATATATTTCTTTAATATTTCAGGAAGTATTTTATGTAATTGTACTAGGCTTTTTTGTTTTTCATTAATTTTTTCTTAGCTTTTCTTTCTTTTTCTTCTTCTTCTTCTGCCTTTTTATCCCCCAATGGAGCATAGGCCCTCAACCAACTCACGCCAAGTCGTTCTATCCTTCGCCATTACATGGAGCTCTCCCCATGTCCTCCCAATCTTTCTAACCTCATTCTCTAGCTCTCTTCTCCATGTGTTTTTTGGCCTTCCTTTATTCCTATGCCCCTGTGGGTTCCAATGCAAAGACATTCTAGTTATGCTGTTCTCCTGTTTTCTCAGTGTGTGCCCTATCCAACGCCAGCGTCTTTTCCTCACCTCCTGATCCACTGGAGCCTGTTTAGTTCTCTCCCAAAGTTCTACATTAGTTTTATTCTATCATACCATTTTATTCCCTCTATTCTGCGCAGGCACCAGTTAATGAATGTCTGTAATTTATTAGTAATTGCCTTCGTTGTTCTCCATGTTTCCGCCCCATACAATAGTACTGATTTGACATTAGAATTAAAAATTTTAAGTTTAGTATTTCTTTTAATTTCTTTTGACCTCCACAAATTCCCTAGTGCTATGAAAGCCCCTCTTGCCTTTTGTATTCTTATTTTAATATCTCTATCAGTTCCTCCATCTTTATCTACATTACTGCCCAAATAGGTGTACGACTCCACGTCTTGGAGTGGGGTGCCATTAAGAGAAACCACATTACTATTTGCCTGATTTATTCTCATTATCTTTGTCTTTCCTTTATGGATTTTCAGACCAAGCTGCTGTGATCTCGCATTAAGTATATTTAATTTATCTTGTATCTGATTCCGTGAATGGGACAGAAGAGAAATATCATCAGCGAAGTCCAGATCATCAAGCTGTTTTGTAGGGGTCCACTGAATTCCATTTTTGGTGTTAGCAGTTACTGTCTTCATAATCCAGTCTATAGTCAGTAAAAATAGCAGAGGCGACAAAAGACATCCCTGTCGCACACCTGTTTTTATTTCAAAAATATTTGTTAGCTTTCCCTCAAGAAGAACTAGACATTTTATGTCTTTATATGTTGACTTTATTAAGTTAATAATTTTCTGTGGGATTCCATAAAGCCCCATCAATTTTCCGAGAAATTCCCTATCAGTGCTGTCAAATGCTTTTTCATAGGCAATAAATCCAATGTAAAGTAGTAAGTTCAATTCAATGCTTTGCTTTGTTATTATACGTAATGTGGCTATCTGATCAGTACAGGATCTGTTGGACCGAAAACCTGCCTGCTCATCTCTTAGCATTTTATCAATAGCATCTTTTAATCTTTCCAAAATAATTCTACTTAATATTTTTCCAGGAACTGACAGCAACATAATTCCTCTATAGTTTTCACACTCCTGTAGATCACCTTTTTGGGCAGTTTCACAAGATATCCTTCTCTCCAGTCTGCTGGTATTTCTTCGGTCTCCCAGACTTTACTGAATAATCTATGTAGCAATTCTGTTGATGTGTTTATGTTGGTCCTGATGGCTTCAGCTGGGATATCATCTGGGCCTGACGCCTTTCCTTCCTTAAGAAGCTTTATAGCTTTCCTAATTTCCTCTTTGGATGGTATCTCACAGTTGATATCCAGTTCCATTTCTAAAGGCTGGATATCTGGGGGAACCTCTATGCCTGGTCTATTTAGAAGCATTTCAAAAAATTCAACCCATCTGTCCATTTGATCTTTAGTGTTAGTAAGTACCTTTCCTTGACTATTTTTGATTGATCCAGTTGGCTGACTATATTTACCTACTAATTTTCTTGTGTTACTGTAAAGTTCTCTGAGGTTTCCTTTTGCTGCTGCTGTCTCCGCTTCTTGTGCTAGATCATTTAGATATTTCACTTTATCTGCCCTTATATGCCTCCTAACTTCCTTGTTGGCTTCTGTGTAATTCTCCTGAGCTCTAGCTTTAGCAGCTCTAGTTTTGCTATTGTTTAATTCTGCCTTTTTGCTTTTCCTATCTTCAATCAGTTTAATGGTTTCTGGTGTTATCCATGCTTTATGTTTCCTTTCTTTCTTGCCAAGAACTTCTACGCAAGATTCATTCCAGATTCCTTTGATCTGATCCCAGCAGACTTCTGTGTTGACATCTTCAGCTAACTGCTGCAACACCTGGTACTTATTAGAGACCGTAACTGAGAACTGTTCCTTAATTTCTTTATCTCTGAGAAAAGCCTACATTATATTGGTTTCTATGATTATAAGATGTTATATATCTTTTTAGTTTCAACTTGATTTTACTTATCACCAGGAAATGGTCAGTAAATACATCGGCACCTCTGAAAGCCCTAACATCGTAAAGGGATGATCTAAACTTTTTGTTAATACATATGTGGTCAATTTGATTAGTTGTCTTATGGTCTGGTGATTCCCATTCTTTCTTTTTCAACTATAGATTATTTTTCCCCTTTATTTGTCATTAAAATTTATTTTTTTAAAATTTGGTTTAATTTAAGAAATGCCCCTTCATTTGATTGTTGTTTGTTTTATTGTTTTGTGTCATCCATTTCTCCCCATGGTTATCCAGTAGTTTGGTTTAATTGATCCCTCCGTCCTGCAGGTTTATCACCTTGCTTGCCTCGGAATCATCTGGTACTTTCAACCTGCGAACACTTCGGGCGGTCCGAGTCCTGCGACCTCTCAAGCTGGTGTCTGGAATTCCCAGTATGTTGTGTTATCATTCATACCATTGTTAACCCAGTAAAACCTCACTAACGCAAAATCGCTTAAGAAATACCCCCCAGTTAACATGAAAAAAAATGGTCCCTGCAGGGATATATTGTTATTAGCTCTCTGTTAGCGTAACATTTGTTAACATTAGCTCTCTGTTAGCGTAACATTTGTTAACATTAGCTCTCTGTTAGCGTAACATTTGTTAACATTAGCTCTCTGTTAGCGTAACATTTGTTAACATTAGCTCTTAATTTTTATCTCTGGAATAGACTGGGGTCTCTTCTTCTTCATAAAGTCCATGCCGTGTGCCGTTGGTAGTCATGTCTATCCACAACCTTCTGTCTCGTGTACTTTCAATCAACTCTGACACAGATGATCTGCCATAGTCCATGCCGTGTGCCGTTGGTAGTCATGTCTATCCACAACCTTCTGTCTCGTGTACTTTCAATCAACTCTGACACAGATGATCTGCCTTAGTCCATGCCCTGTGCCGTTGGTAGTCATGTCTATCCACAACCTTCTGTCTCATGTACTTTCAATCAACTCTGACACAGATGATCTGCCATAGTCCATGCCCTGTGCCGTTGGCAGTCATGTCTATCCACAACCTTCTGTCTCATGTACTTTCAATCAACACTGACACAGATGATCTGCCATAGTCCATGCCCTGTGCCGTTGGCAGTCATGTCTATCCACAACCTTCTGTCTCGTGTACTTTCAATCAACTCTGACACAGATGATCTGCCATAGTCCATGCCCTGTGCTGTTGGTAGTCATGTCTATCCACAACCTTCTGTCTCGTGTACTTTCAATCAACTCTGACACAGATGATCTGCCATAGTCCATGCCCTGTGCCGTTGGTAGTCATGTCTATCCACAACCTTCTGTCATGTGTACTTTCAATCAACTCTGACACAGATGATCTGCCATAGTCCATGTCCTGTGCCGTTGGTAGTCATGTCTATCCACAACCTTCTGTCTCGTGTACTTTCAATCAACTCTGACACAGATGATCTGCCATAGTCCATGCCCTGTGCCGTTGGTAGTCATGTCTATCCACAACCTTCTGTCATGTGTACTTTCAATCAACTCTGACACAGATGATCTTCCATGCCATGATGTCAAACTATCCAGCATCTGTTCTCTCGGTCTCCCTCTGCCTTTCCTCTCCTCCAACTTTCCTACTGTTACGATGTACTCCAGTTTTCTCCTTCTCATCACATGACCAAAGAATGTAGATTGTCTTTTTCTGATGTGGACAATCAGTTCTCTTCGTGAATCAGTTTCTTTCAAGATGTCTTCATTACTCTTTTTTGTCTGTCCAGGATATTCTCAACATTCGTCTATAAAACCACATCTCAACTGCTTCCAGATATGTTTTCACTAATCCACCAACTTCCATGATTCACTTCTATAAATCAAGATAGGATTTGTATAGCTTTTAAGAATTCTCTTTCTCATCTGAGTTGACAAAGAAAGATTGCATAAAATAACTGCGACCCCAATACATAATATTCGCGAAGACAATAGTGATTCACTGTAGCCGGTTTCATTGTGAAGATGGCACCGAATTTGATTTTTTGGTACTTTAGAATTTACGTTAATGAGGTTTTGCTGTATTGAAAATTTTATTTTTAGTTAATTATAGCATTTATGACTGACTGACTGACTTCCCCTTGAATAAACACTCACAGACCATGTTGAGAAAAATGAAAACAGGCATGCTTCGTGCAGAGTAGCAAGCATCACTTCAGATCCCTGGTAGTTAGCATCCTTTGGATATTTTCTCCAGGTCATGCCTGGGTGTTGGGGAATGAGCAGGCAGATAGACTGGCTGGCTCTGCACAACTTGGTAGTGAATTGATGTATGACAAGTTAGATATTGTGGGGGCCCTTCGGAAGCGAGTAAACAGTGCTGAGGTGCAGATAGATCATTACGGTCTAAGGAGAATGGCGCTGATAGGAGCTACCAGAGGGTCTGGTCGACGCTCAACACTCAGGGAAAGAATTAGATGAATATACAATCAGACGGTTACTGGTACCATCAGAATTGGAACTCTTAGCTTGCTACTGTAGATGGGGACTGAGCGCTTATGGAGGAGTCCCGAGTGCTTTGATGTCGATTCTAAATTTAACATTCAATATTCAACATTCCCTTGAATGAACATGTAAGTTATCATTATAAAGAACCATAACTTCACACTCTACAATTACACATAAATATTATGTGGGAAAACGGGGGTGGGGGGGGGGGGGGTGGGGAGTTCCTTTACGCCCTCTTAAAATGTATAGACGATGGAGGCCTTAAGGGGTTTATACCTTGTTCAACTGCACAGTAATGATAGTTATTAGCCTAAAGACACTTAGTGACATACTCAGGAGGAGGTCGCAGCACTTATGCTTATGTAAAATGTGTGATAAAGATGACCATTTAATGGACAATAATAATTATTATTAGTTATTTTTAAATTCTGAATGACAAGCAAACATACTCATATATGGGATATAGTGTGAAATGTGTAAATGAAATACTTAATAATACTAAAAAAGAGAAAATCTATGAGGGGAGAGAGGGAGTACTCAGCCCATGTGCAATTTAATTTGCTTAGGAAAAAAGCTGGGGGGGGGGGGGGAGGGGTGGCTTAAGGTACCTGAACTCCAAAGTTCCAGTGCCTGTGGTAAGGATGAGTCAGAAATGTTGCCTCACTGCCATTTGGCATGTATCGAACAAGAGGTCAGTCACTTTCCAAAGTGGTGGTGGGGATACTGTGATGTGTACGGGATGAGGTGTTTGAGAAAGGCCGCCAACAAAACTGGAAGAGATCATGTTTTGAGTTGAGTCAAGAACTGACATCACAGCACTCAGGGCATTCCCATAAGCCCTGTGTCCCCATCTTCAGCATCCAGAACAGAGTTCCAATACTAGTGGTGCCAGCATTTCGATTATAAATTCATCTTGCCTTTCCTCTGATTGTAGAGTAATGGCCAGAACCTCTTTGCTCTCCCCGCTACATCGCTATTACCGGACTGTGGTGATCCATTTTGCTCCTGCAAATTGTACACGTTCTCCCACAAGACCCTAACCACATCAGCCTGCATCGGTATTCCACCAGGTTGTGCAGAGCCAGCCAGTTTGTCCACATGCTCATTTCCCAACACACTGGGCTAATGACCAACATGTGGTGCAGGAGAGCCTAGCATATGATACCACAACATCCAGCTTAAGAATGGAGGTGGAGGAGGTCACTGAAGCTTTCCACTGGCTAGAGAACAGGACACTGCAAAAATGATCATGTGAGAAACAAAGAAATTACAAGAACTATTGGAATATTGAAACAACGCCTATAATTAAATTCATTCAAAAGTGAAGACTGAAAAGGTTTGTCCATTAAATGAGAAGGAATCCAATGATGCCAGCAATGAGAGCATTCAATACAAAAGTAGAAACACTAAGGGGAAGGGTCGACCAAGAGGAAAGGGGCTTGAAGGAGTCATTTATACCTTGAGGCTCCACAACATCACAGTATACGGGGCAGCCGAACATGTCCTAGCTCATAAACTGATCATCTGGTAATGAGATGCCTAGCAGTAAAAAGCAGAACATTGACACAAGAAAATAAAGTGAACAGCGAACAGTATGAGGCAGTTTAGTTACTCAGTTTAGTTGTGCAAAGAGCATTACAGTGCCCTATAGACAGACCCTGTGTTGTTGTGTAAAGAGCATTACAGTGCCCTATAGACAGACCCTGTGTTGTTGTGTAAAGAGCATTACAGTGCCCTATAGACAGACCCTGTTTTGTTGTGTAAAGAGCATTACAGTGCCCTATAGACAGACCCTGTGGTGTTGTGTAAGGAGCAATACAGTGCCCTATAGACAGACCCTGTGTTGTGTGTAAAGAGCATTTCAGTGCCTTATAGACAGACTCTGTGTTGTGTGTAAAGAGCATTACAGTGCCCTATAGACAGACCCTGTGTTGTTGAGTAAAGAGCATTACAGTGCCCTATATACAGACCCTGTGGTGTTGTGTAAAGAGCATTACAGTGCCCTATAAACAGACTGTGTTGTTGAGTAAAGAGCATTTCAGTGCCTTATAGACTTACTCTGTGTTGTTGAGTAAAGAGCATTACAGTCCCCTATAGACAGACCCTGTGTTGTTGTGTAAAGAGTATTACAGTGCCCTATAGACAAACCCTGTGTTGTTGTGTAAAGAGCATTACAGTGCCCTATAGAGAGACCCTGTGTTGTTGTGTAAAGAGCATTACAGTGCCTTATAGGCTTTGTGCTGCTATATGCATGGCAGATATAGACCGTGAGCTGGCAAACTCCAAAATATTTGATTTCCCTTGATAACAAGACAGAAGACAGAACACTTTGAATATTCATCACTTTTGTTTTTATTGATCATAAAACATTTTCAGTTGCCATTTTGTCTTAATGCTGCATTAAAATTCCTTGGGGATTGGGTCTTATTTTGTTTGTATGCATCTGCTTTTAAATAATAATTAAATAAATTGACTTTATTTTTGTAGCTTTCTCTATGTGAATTATCATTTTGTTTAGGTTGTAATGATTGTTGCAAAATACAAGGACATCATTCTACACTGCTGGCTGCTACACTGTACATGTACACTAGAACTCATTCATCATAATTCCTATTCTAATTCCAGTTATATGAACAAATTTAAATGTAGACCAAATGCAATCTACTGCAAACAGCTTTTGCTGTAAGCAGTTTTTGGTTATGCTTGTGATCAGGTTTATTTGTGCCAATTGTTTTGGCTGATATTTGTGTTTGGTATCTTGGTTGATGGCTTTATTGTCCCTATCCAGTGCATTTTCTATTCCTATTTGCGTGTCTGGGTTCCATTTCAGGTCCAGTTTTGTTAGCTCTTTTTTGCTGGATTTGCTTCCTGTGTTCTGGTTGTGTGTGTGTGTGTGTTTTTTCTGTATGGTTCAGAAACTTGGACGATTTAACAGGCTACTAAAAATC